TCGTCTGAATCATCAGAAGACTGATTTCAAGCCGAGAAAATTTCACTGAATTATTGCTTATTGCTTTTAATGTCCATTTAGAAGGAGTGTACTCATCTTCTTTGGTGGGTGTGTCTGTCTGCTTCTGTGGAGATGGCATAGTTTGTTTAAACAATGATTCCTTCCTGGGTGATGATGATTCTGTCTCTGGAGTGGGTTGGCAAGTTGGCCCTGTTGATTTATAATGCAACTTAGAATCTATGTTTAGTTTGGGCAATGATGGACATGGTGAAAGCTTGTTTTCTGGAGTACTAGTTTCAAGTGGAGGTGACAACTGTACACCTTCGTCTAAAGGGAATTTCACACATGGATCAACAGTTAATAATTGATCAGATTCAGTGAAGGAAGAACTAACAACTGTTTCAGTTTTTACTAGACATGACAGCTGTCCAGCATCAACACTACCCATGGATTCAGAGGACTGGCTTGGTTTTATATTTCTTTTCTCATTCTCTGTAGATTTAGTAATTGTCTTCACACGACAGTCTTGTTTGATTCTACGAAGATTTGATAATTTGTCATTATATTCTTGCCTTTCTTTTGCAGTGGGAGATCTATTTTCATTTCTCCATGGTTTAGGCACCCATACTCTGCCTGTGAATGCTGTTGATGGAAGTGTAGGTTTACTTGCCATGGGACAGACATTTGGAAATATTTGTATTGAATCAAATCCAACAGCACTAGTTTTACTTGCAGACTCTGGACTTTTTGTGATCATTTTCACTTTTCCCATTGGAAGCCTGACAATCTTTGATGGCAGTGTAGGAACTTTGAAACCATCCACAGGATCCTCATCATCTGAGGAATGAACAACCCTAGAGTTTGATGTTACACTTATTGTTAATTTCTGGCATGCTCCAAGATATGTTCCAGTTTTAGAGATGACAGAACCATTATTATTATTTTCATCCTTTTGCGCAATAGGGTATTGAATCTGGCTCGCACCCACTTCATCACTGAGGGAGGAACCCAAAACAGACACAATAGGGTGTTGGATCTGGCTCACACCCACTTCATCACTGAGAGAAGAACCCAAATCAGCTGCAATGAAACAATAGTTTTAATAATTGATAATATTATTATTTATACATCTGACACCGGAAAGAATAGAATTTTGCAGTGGATAAAATTTCAGATGTTCAAAAGAGTGGCTCCGTTTATGGAATTCTTCTGAGCTGGGACATAAAATGGTCACCATTCAGACTTTAAGATATCATGGAGACACCATAGTATTCAGTTTGCATATATAGTAGACTTTTATTGC